CCCATCTCTTTTACAAGAATACAACAATTAGGGCCCAGGTGTCGTGCGATGCGCTGTAGTTCCAGTCTACTGCGGGATGGCTGAACGGGAGAGTCACTTGAGCCCGAGGTTGAGGGCTGCAGAGAGCCTGTGAATCATGCCACCCGCACGCACTCAGCCCTGGGGTGACATTAAACACATTCCATCTGAGTTGGGAAAACGGAAAGCCAGGGCACTCATGCATTCAGAGAAAAGGGCTACTGTAGAAATCAGGTTCCATCAAATGTAGGAGGAAGCTGCGAGGCGGGCTGGAAGGTGTGGGGAAGCTTGCCTGCCAGTCCTTCACCAGCGATCCCATGGGTCAAGGCCCTGCAAGAACGGCCAATGGACCGATGGTAGCTGTGCAACAGAACGTGATGTAAAATAAGAGTTTGCATCCTTGTGAGTCGGAGGCTCACGGTTCCTATCGCACTGGGAATTGTGCCTTGGGGAAAAAATAACGCCTCAGGGGCTTTAAAGTATCAGTTCAGCCATAAAGTCCACAAACTTCACTGGTGCCTGGAAGGAAGGCCCATATCTCTTTGTAGCCACGTGAGTTGAAGATCAAAAAACCAACCCAAACTCTGATTCCGGTGGCAAAATGAATCAGTTCAACTACTCTGCGCTTGAACTCAGGGCCTGCAAGCCTTTCTTCGGCTGAAGTTGAGGGCACTTGATTGGAAGGATTCCATCTGCGAAGAATTGTTTTCTCTTTTTTTTTTTTTTTTTCAGACGGAGTCGTCGCTTCTGGCACCCAGTGCTGGAGTGCAGTGGCCGCGATCTCAGCTCACTGCAAGGCTCCGCCTCCGGGTTCACCGCCAATTCTCTGCCTTCAGCCTCCCGAGTAGCTGGACCTACAGGCGGCCCGCCACCTCGCCAGTAGCCCAGCTAGTTTTTTGTATTTTTTTTAGTAGAGACAGGGTTTCACCGTGTTAGCCAGGATGGTCTCGATCTCCTGACCTCGTGATCCGCCTGTCTCGGCCTCCCAAAGTGCTGGGATTACAGGCTTGAGCCACCGCGCCCGGCCTCCATCTGGGAAGATTCTAATCCTAGGGCAGACTCTTCCTCAAAAGCCCCTACCACCTCCGGCTTCTAGATCTGTAACTAAACCGCAATCCCAGCGAGCTCCAGGAATGTGGCCACAAAATCTGACCCAGGAAGATGTGCTATACGTAACAAAATAATTAGGAGTCATTTCCAGTTCATTTTGGCAGAAACCTAGGAAATCTGTATGAGAACAAACCCTAAGGGTGTCAGACCCGGGGAAAGAAAGTAATGTCAGGTTGGGCTTATTTTGATATGGTGCACTCGCCAGAGATTCTGAGCTCCATGTGTCCACTCGGCAGCTGGGAGTGGCTGTCAGAGTTGGCCCATTCCAGCAACTGAAACCTGGAGCGGTGGTGACCCATGATTTTATTTATTTATTTATTTATGGAGACGGAGTTTCACTCTGTCACCCAGGCTGGAGTGCAATGGCGTGATCTCGGCTCACTGCAACCTCTGACTCTTGGGTTCAAGCGATTCTCCTGCCTCAGCCTCCCGAGTAGCTGGGACCTCGTGGTCCACCCGCCTTGGCCTCCCAAAGTGCTGGGATTACAGGTGCGAGCTACTGTGCCCAGCTGTTTCACCATTTTCAACAAGAAACACTACAATTTAACATCGTTCAGCCTAATATCTGGGCAACGTACTAAGATCTTACTTGACCTGATCAAGGGGATCTGTGAACAGGCAGCTGACTCAAGTCACTGTGGTGGAGGCTCGGCGCCCCGACCCAGTTCCCAGATTTTACCCAGAGCTCCTTGAATAAAGTGGGGCTGGGTCTCACCGAGGAAGGACGCTGCTTCAAGCATTTACAAGGTACACACGTTTTCCTTGCTGTTCCCAAAGGGACCTGTGCCATTTATCTGGGAAGGGTGACTGTGGAAAGGCAAATACCCAGAGGGGAGGGGGGTCACAGGGCACTGAGTCTTAGCGGTACCCGTTCTGCCTGACACACACAGCCACTGCGGTCCCACAGTCACAGCACGGGCTTTTGGAGATCAAGCAATGAATGGGGTTTGTTCTGATCCGTCTCCCGGGAGGCTCCGCAGGCCCTAAACCCACCCTACGGTTATTTTCTGGCTCTGGAAAGTACAGTGGAAAAGGCACTCAGTTGTGCAGAAGCCATGGAGTGGCTCCTTGACTGGTAGGGTGAGGGCTACTATGGTAGAAAGGGCCACGTGGACGCCACCAGCCCTGCCTCTCTCTCAACATGGAAAACCAAAAGTCATACTGTGAACTTAGTCAGGCAGTAACTGCAACTTCCTGTGCTCTTCTGGATGTAATGTTTTTATGGAGCAAGTCAACACAGCTCCCAACACTTAATACCAATTCTTTTTTCTCTATACTCATTACTTAACAGAAACAGGCCAGGCATGGTGGCTCGTGCCTGTAATCCCGGCACTTTGGGAGGCCTAGGCGGAGGACCACTTGAGGTCAGGAGTTCAAGACCAGCCTGGCCAACATACCAAAACCCCGTCTCTACTAAAAATACAAAAATTAGCTGGGCATGGTGGTGCATGCCTGTAGTCCCAGCTACTCGGGAGGCTGAGGCACAAGAATTGCTTGAACCTGGGAGGCAGAGGTTGCAATGAGACAAGATTGCACCTCTGCACTCCAGGCTGGGCGACAGGGCGAGACTGTCTCAGAACACACACACAAAAAAAAAAGAAAAAGAAAAAAATAGAAACAAACGAGAAGCTTGTTCCATTGGGCAATGACAGCAAAATACCTTTGCCCCGTTACCTCAGGCCTACCAACTCCCCAGCCCTCTGTCCCAGCTAGTTCTGGAGTACTTCCATTACCTCACCATTCCACAGGCTGACACACTGGTCCACCGTAGTGATAGCATGCATGCGTTGGACCTGACAAGAATCAGGAAATACCTGAGCCATCTTGGCAAGACACATGCATGTCAGCGAGTGGGAAATGAGCCCCACAAAATGCCTAACATCTCAGTGACGTTTCTAGGGGTACAATGGTGTGGGGCGTGTTGAGATAGCCCCTTGAAGAGGAAGACCAGGCACCTCCTCCTGTTAAGAAAGTGGTGTGACCTTTGGCGGGGCTCTGGGTTTTGGCACAGCTTACGCCTCATCCAGGTGTGCTCTTCCGGCGGACTCACTGGTAACCTGCAAGGCTGCTGCCAGTTTCAGGACCCAGGATGAGAGGAGGCTC